TTTTTTTACATCATGGTTCAATTAGGGAGAAAATATTTAGTTACTACATTTTCCTATAAGAAATTTTCTTTCTTCACCATCAGTGGAGAGACATAAAAAACATCAAAGTCAAACACAAAGTTATGCTATGAGTAACAGACCAGGAAATTTGTGGGAAAGGAGTCGTTTGCAATATGTCAGACACCAGGCATACACTATTTTACAAATTCCCCAAACCACCAGATAAGCCAGGCATTATTACTCCCATTTTACAGATGAGGAAACTGAAATTCTGGTGAATAAGTCAAAGTCAACTTGTCCAAAGTCACCAAAGCTTGAATGTGCTGGAGACAGAATTGGAACACAGCTGCCCAGCAGTGGGAGGACCCTGTGGGCTTCCTTGCACTGCCCAGGGTCTCTGCACACTGCCTGGCAGTTCATACGGAGAACTGTGTAGCGATTTTATATGCTATGAAGACACAGGGCTGATGCCACCCATTTCCCAGGAATGGACATGGAAATATTTCTTCAGAACAGTCAACTTCTGACTTTACTGGATCTTAGCTATTTTCCTCCCACCTCTCCGCAGTATATGTTGAAAGCTTGTTCTTTGCCACCCAGGTTCTCAGTTTTGATGCTAGACAGAAAGATTTCTTTTTCTCCCAGGCTATCACATTTGTATTCTGTCCAATCAGTACATCCATTCATTGAAGAAAATCCCAAGCTGCTTTTCTGATTCCCCAATTTCTTGGGCTTGTGGTCTGAATGGTCATTGTCTTAAGAACTCAGGAGCTGGGAGCCTACTAGCCAGACTGTTTGGCCTAGTAAAGGTGCCTTCAGGTGCCCACCTGTTCACTCAGATACTCAGTATTTCATAGAACCATGGATGAGCCAGAACGTAATGATCACTTGGAACTTAGCAGCCTGCAAGAGCACAGGAGGGGGAGGGGGAGAAAGCTGATCTTTGGGAGAAACCTTTAAAAATAATAAAAAACTGCTTTCTAACATTCAGGTATGATAACCATCGAGTTTGTTGGTAGGACAATTATGATGGGCTTTCTCTAGCTGTGCAAAAGACTAAAACTGGCCCACTTCTTAGGACATAAGGAAAAATAGGCCTTGAGCCAGCAGAAAGCAAGAAGTAAGCCAGGAAGAAATGGAAGCATGTCCTTATTAGTGCCTTTAGATATTGAAAGCCAACTTTACTAGCAATTTGTCAGCCAGAGACCTTCATAAACAAACACTTCTAAATTCTCAGACCAATGAAGATGGAGAATTTCATAAGGATGCTTTGAGGACTTGCAGCCCTGAAATGTCTTTGTGAGTCACTGATGCAAATTAAACAGCATTTGCCTTTTTCTTACCCTTTGAGTAATGACCCTTATTTTGTGAAAACTGGTGATTCATATTTAGAATGTTTAGAACGTTTGCTTCATCAGAATATTTGACTTATGGGCCAATATTGCTGGTGAATGGGTTTAGAATGGAGTAGCTAGCATCATGAAAATCTACATATTTCTGACTTGGAAGGAGAAGACCGTCTTCCAGATCTGATTTGTTAACCACACAACCCTCGCCATGTCCTTTAAACTCTGGGCCTTATTTGTAAATGAAGATAATGCTATCTGTCATCCCCAGTTACTAAGCTTAAATGAAATAGGTCTGTGCATGTGCCCGGCACACGCTTGCACAAAGGAAGCACTCCGTCAGTGCAGCTTCAATTCTGATGATGATTATCATCATTTTTAATACTGCGAGCTTATTTCAGTCTCTAATCTCTTCCTTTTTGTTGTATCAGCCTCTGCCCACCCTCGAAGTCTGGTTTTTCCATGCCTCCCATGGAACACATGAAGTTTTCCCAAGTTCTATTCTCAGCTTCCCCTTTTTCTCATATGAAAAATAGAGTTGCTTGGGAGTCTGTGAGACTCTCTCAGGTTAGCTCTTTCCCTCCAAGAGACGCCACCCTCTGCCCTCGTCTTGGTTTTTCCCATCATTTCCTCTTTCTCTGGGCCAGACCTGGATAAACTTGTGGTTTCCTTCCTTCATACTCTCTGGAGAGCTGAGTACTGCACACTTGAAAGCCTAAAAACTTGTCATTTCCACCTTGAACTAGAGGCTGACCTCACCAGACAGCCTGGGAAATGAATTAGTGTCCTTAAGCAGAGGCAGAATATGAACAGTGACCCAGCTAGCCGAAGCAACTATGGAAACTGTCAAGCGGTAGCTAAAGTTCCCTTTTTCCCAACCCCTTTAATTATGTTGAAAACTATGTCATATTGTTTTTGAAAAAGTTAATGAAATAGTAGGTAAAGGTGAACCAAGGAACATAATTTACTTGGATTTCCTTGCAAGCTTTTGATAAGGTCCCTCATAAAAGGCTATTAAGGAAAATAGATGACCAGAGGGCTCTGGGCAAAAGTCTTTTTGGTGTATTAAAAACTGGTTTTGCTATTTTAGAGGAAGAATCCCTGATGCCGGCGACTTCTTGGAGCAGAGAAAGGTTAATCACAAACTGCTCTGGTGTTAGTTTTTGGACTTGAAGCATTTGAATGATTTATATAGCAAAAGGAAGCAAAGTTAGCCAAAGACACAAGATTATTATCATGGTACAAACCTGCTAGTTTTAAGTATGAATGAAGGATTCTTGTCCACCAACGGGGAATATTGGAGAGACAGCTTGTCCTATCCAGTGGAAGAAACCTACAGAGATAGAAGCCTTGTGAGTTAGACAAAAATGCTTCTTCCTTGTGTGGGCCCAGCACTGTCAGGCCTGAGGATGGACAGCAGGACATGATGATCTTACAAATGTGCCCCCCCCACCCTTCCAGCAGATGGTGGTTTAAGGCCATGAAAAATTAGAAATGAGTGGCATGGGTGGAAAACACTGAAGCAATACGAAGACACCATTTTGCATGCTTTTCATTCCAAAATTGTAAAAGAATAATTCTATTGGTAAAGGAGCGCCAAAGGAATGTCATGGGGACTCAGGCATTAAATACACTTCCTGTGTAATTTGTGCATTTGACCCAATGCAGCCAAAAGCAAACGCAGACCTGCTCACAGCCTACTCACTCTAGGGGCAAAGGGAAGAGCTGCTTTTTTATGAAAAAAAGGTAGGCTTTTTCTTCAAGTCCTGATAATTTAACAACTCACTTATTCTCATAGGTATCTTCACCACCACTGCCCTTCAATGTTTTCACCGTAAAATGAGACTGAAGGAATTGTACCCATCTGTGGGTGCTGACGAGGCAGATCCCAGGTCCTCTTCCAACCATGGCCCTCATTAACCTTTATGACACCTCTCACTGAGCCTCACGTGGTTTCTGCAAGATCAAAAAATCTGAAATAAAAAAGTCACCCTGCAATCAATGGGAAAATGAGTTCTAATCTAGATTTGCCAAAACTTCTTCACTAGTCAGGTATTAATGTATTCTAGGTCATAAACAGAGTACTGTTTACCTGGTAGAGAAGCATTTCTTCTGTGAGACAGAGAGTAGACGAGATAAGATGCTGGACATGGAAATACCAGCCTCAGGGAGCCCAGCAGTAGACCCATGCAAAGATAGTCAACTTACTTTTGACAAAAGTGCCAAGAGAATTCAGTAGAGAAAGACTAGTCTTTTCCAACTAATGGCAGCGGAACAACTGAGTGTCAAGAGACAAAAAAAGAAAGAAAAGAAAGATTCTCAATACATACCATATACAAAAATTAACTCAAGACAGATCATAGACATAAATGTCAATGTCAATGGTGAGATTACAAAATTTCTAGAAGAAAATATAGGAGAAAATCTTTGCAACGTTAGGTTAGGCAAAGAGCCCTTTGAGGCAACAGCAAAAGCATTATTCATAAAAGAAGAAATGGATAAATTGGGCTTTATTGACTTTTCGTAAACTTGCTCTGCAAAAGATACTATGAGGAGAATGAAAAATCAAACCACAAACTAGAAGGAAATATTCACAAGTCCCATCTCTGTGAAGGATTTGTATCTGTAAGATATGAAAACTTTCATTTATAAAAATAATCATTGGAAAACAAGCAGCCAAGTCAAAGAAATGGTCAAAAGATTTGAACAGACATTTTACTATACAAGACATACGAACAGTAAACAAGCACTTAACAGATGTTCACTGTCATTAAGAAAATCCAAATGACAACACGATGAGACGCCACTACAGACCTACTTCATTGGCTAATGTTATGTTTTGTTCCACATACCAAGCACCAGCATGTGGAACCACTGAAGTCCTCACACAGCGCTGTTACAAATGTAAAATGGCAATTTTTTTTAGTTTCTTATAAAGTTAAAAACACAAGTACTATGTGACCCAACCACAATCTCACTCCTAGGTGTTTATGTCTGAGAAGCAAAAACTTGTGTTTACACAAAAACCATACACAAACATTTATCACAACTTTTATCACAGTGACCCCAAACCCAAAATAACCAAACGTTTTTCAACAAGAGAATGGATACAGCACGTGTGGCACGTACATACACGGAAATGCCGCTCCGCAATGAGAGGAGCACACTCTGGGCACGTGCAGCAGCAAGGCTGACGTCTCCATACATGCCGCTAAGTGAAAGAAAACAGATCCGAAAGGCTGTAAATCTCCATTTATAGAGAATTCTGGAAAAGATCTGCAGAACAGATCAGTAGTTTCCAGGTCTTGGAAGTAAAGAAAGAGGGGGGGACTATAAAAGGCTGACCCAGGAAACGTGGAAAGTGGGTGACAGGGGTGAGGTTAGGACCGTCGTGTCATAACTACAGCAGTGATACGAGACGCTATGCATTTTTCAAAACCTTCTCATCTGTATACCCCTCCAAAAAGTGAATTGCATTGTTTTAAATTTTTTAAATTAAGCCAACAAAATTCCAAACCACAACAAAACAAAAACAAAGTCTGTTAGGATGAACGCCACAATCAACCGTTGTGTATGTTTTTATGGGAACATAATTTGTCACATAAGTGGTCCCAAGAATGTGTTATATTTATATTTCTTCCTATAACTTCATTGCCTTTGCAAGAAAAGGTGCAGTCTGCCCTCATGTTCTGTTGTGTTGCTAACTGACCCAAATGACATTGGACCCCTGACTTCCTCATTAACATACAGCGTGGTCAGCAGTCTTTTCTAGACTACTCTGCTTGCCTCCAACTGTGAAAAGGATTATTTGATGTTCTTAAAGATTACCCTTCACCTTGAACTGTACATACTAATTATGTTACCACAGGTGATGCTAACGACAATGGCGCAGCTGCCCTGCTTCCTAAAGTTCCAGGGCAGGACGATGCTTTTGTCTCCGAGATGTAGAAACAAGACCAGAGCTCCAGCCTGCAACCCCTGGATATCAGCAACTTCTGGATGCTCTGCGGTTGGCCCTGAAAACACCAACCCCCCTGTCTACACCAAAAGCTGTTGCTGTTAATTATACAGTGATTTTTTCTTTCTTAGTGTTATTTTTCTTCTCCAACAAGAGAGAGGGAAAGATGCATGAAGAGTACACAGTAGTCCCTCAGTGTCCATGTGGAATTGGTTCCAGGTTTCCCTTCAGATATCAAAAGCCAAGGTTGCTTAAGTCTCTAATGTAGAATGCATAGTATTTACATATAACCTAGGCATTCCTTTTGTATACATCGAACTATCCCTAGATTACTATGATACCTAATGCAATGTAAATTCTATGTAAATAGTTGTTATACTGTGTTGTATAGAGAATAACAGAAAGAAAAGAATAGTCCATATGTGTTCAATGTAGATGTCAACCATCCTTTTTTTTTTTCCAGATATTTTAATTGGCCTGTTGGTTGAATCCACAGATGTGGAACCTGTGGAGACAGAGGGCTGACGATAGTTTGCAGCAAATATTAACTATTATTGAAGAAAGCAAGTACATTTCACTAAAAGCCCAAATGCTTATTTAAAAAGAAATGTGTAATCCTGAATACCCCATCCAAAGACCATTATGTAAAACAGTTGTACATCAAGACATTTTTTAAGACAAATACCCAGTGAGGTATCTGAGTTTAAAATTCAGATAATAAACCACAGAATTCACAACCAGCTACTCAAACCTGAAGACATGAGTCATAAGCAAGAATTGAAACAAAAAGCAAAACCTCTTATTTTTTCCAGCTAAACCTCTAGTTTTCCAACTGGAGCCATTAAACCATTTTATCAGGAGCATATGAAGCAGATCAAGCAACTAAATTGAAAAAATGGCAGCTCCTCAGATAACTTTTCCCAAAAATAGGTCAGGTAGAAATGAATGGTTCTTTCTTCCGCATTATTAGTAATTTGTGTGCTTTTACAGAACTGTACTTAGCACTCTCGCGTCATTAATTGTCACAGATTCATCCCAATGCACAACATCCTCACCAGGCCGTGAGCTCCTGGGGGCAGGGCCGAGTATTCGTGCATCTGTCTTCTCCCTGAACCTATGGAGGATCAGCTTGGACAATTAAGTTCCTGATCTCATTCTAGAAAAAGTGCTACATACCTCATTGCTGAATATCACTGAAGTCACCAGTTGGCCGACCGTAGTTGGCCATACCTCAGCGGTGAGGTACGAAGCACTTGCTCTAGGATGCGTTCACAAACTTAATTGTCAGACCTAATAATGTGTAGTCATAAATATTTGAAGAATAAAAGAAACAAGGGAAAGGAAGGAAGGAAGGGAAAGACATCATGAGAGGAGAAAAAGAATAGGAAGGAAAAGGGAAGGCGGAAACAAAGAGAGAAGAGGGTGAGAAGGGGGGAAGGAGGAAAAGAGGGAAGGGAAGGAGAAAGGAGAAAAAGAAGGCAGGCAAGGGAGGATGAAGAAAGAAAGGAAGGAGAGAGAAGAATTAAGTGTGAGGCAAGGAAGAAAGGAATAAATAAAAAAGGGAGAGGGGAAAGAAGGGAAGGAGGTAAGGAGGAAGGGAAGAAGGAAGGAAGGGAGGGAGGGAGGGAAGGAGGAAGGAAGGAAGGAAAGAAGGAAGGAAGGAAGGAAGGAAGGAAGGTGCACCTAAGGTGGAGAAAGTGAGGACAGGTAGGGTGGGTTGAAAGTCAGAGAGGTATCCAGTGTAGGAAGAGGGCAGCCATGAGCCATCCTGGTCATCTGGGGGCTGGTGCCCATATTTTCCTGCGGTTATATGGCCATGGCCAGCCACTCTCTCTGAGCTCACCACCTCCCTTTGTCCCTCATGCTGCAGCCCCACGGGTGTCAGCAGCCATAGTGCGGGTGAGCACAGGGCCAAGCCAGCAGCTGAGGCAGGAAGAGGGACTGGAGCTGCTGGCGGGAGCTGCGCCCTGCTCCCGCTGCAGGCCTGGGTGCCAGAGCCAGAGCAGCCGGGTCAGGGTGGCGACGAGCTTTTGGCATGGCCGAGCTCTCACACGCTGTCCTTTCCAATGGCCCGGCCGGCATTGCTGGGGAAACGGGAGGGGCTGGGCAGCCAGCAGCCGAGAGTGAGAACTTTCCTTTGCCAGAGCCAGCTGCTGGCTGCCATCTGGGCAGGGGCAGTGCCAGTTTCCCAAATCTGCCTTCCCTTTGGAAAAGGGGGAGAAAACTCTGTGCTGAGAAGATAGCTTCTCCTCCATCCCGAGACTCTCGGTTAAAAACCCAACAAAACCAGCCTTTAAAAAAGGAAGGGGTGAGAAATGCCACACATTGGGCTGTTTCCAAAGGAATTTGCTTTTCCCGGGGCCTTAACATCCAAGGAAAATCTTTATTCGCCCTTAATATCCTTGGTTCTTTCGTTTTACTCAGTGATGATCTTTTATTATCTTTAAAAATTGAATGCCTAAACAAACAAAAAAAATGCTTTGTCCTTTGTATTTGTCACATGGGGATGGGATTATCCACCTCGAGATGGGAATTCCCTGAGAGCTGTGACTTAGTCTTAATAATTCGTCCTCTACCGTGACTAACCCAACACTTCACCCAAGCTGGTGTTCCCTGAGTGCTTTCTGGTTAATCCAATCACTCATTGAGTGGACACTTCCTGAACACCTGCTAAATAAGAGATGATGAAAAACTGAAGATCCAGCTTGGTTCTCAGAGTTCAGCCAGGTGGGTGGAAGCCACTCTTGGTTCCCCCTGTGTCACCCCATCTATATCTTGCAGTGGAGCCTGGACCCCATGTTATGCACTATGCTACCAAGACAATCCCAGGGGACAGGCAGGAAAAGAGTTGGCACCTGACATAGCACAGAATCAGGGAGGCCTTCCACAAAACCAAAAAGCAGGCAAGCTTTATACAGGGGTGAGAGTCAGTGTATTTATTAATAACAAGCTGCCTACCCTGGACACTGACTAATCAGAACACGATGGTGACTGAGACAGACCAGTCAGGACACGATACTGACTGAGACCAGTACAGCCACCCTGGTGCATCCCAGCTGAGTAAGAATCCTGACTTTATTGCTTATTATTCCCTTACCTTTCAAATCTTGTTTTTCTGTCTTGATGTCTTTCTTCCCAGTGAAGCCCAGAGCCAACCAACTTTCTGCCATTGTAAATACGCATTAAAACTTGCCTGAGTGCTCCATGGGGACCTCAACCACACAGAGATCTTCATGGGGGTGGGGAGCTCCATTTTGGCTTCTCTGCCTTTGCTGACATCCTCATTCTAAAGCAATTCGAAACATGCCCATTATTCATGTAATAGGGGAAAGAGCTGGGGGAACATCTCAAGAGTAAGGTTTGCTCT